GTGGTAGCCTGGCAGTGAGTTGCCGCTGGCCACGGGTGTGCCCGCGCCTTCCGGGCCCCCAAGGCTGGTGGGTCACATGACCACTCGAGCCTTGTGCGACCTTGACCCACCCCCTGCCCTGCCGATTCCCTCAGACGATTGCCCGGCATGGAACCCGGGTCCCGGCGGCGGCATCGAGGGCAGCGAGGGCCCTGAGTTCTGCGGACAGCAGCGACGCTACCTCTGCTGCTACAGGAAAGGCGGGGGGCTGTGCCCTGGGCTCTGCTGAGGGGAAGGCGTACAACTGAGGAGCCAGCTGTTGGCAGAGTCGGGGGATTTAACAGCGCTGAGCTTCAGGGCCCACACAGAATCTGGGCCACAGGGCAGTGGAGCCGCACAGACCTGGGGCTGGATTCCAGCACAGCGACCTTGGGCATGTGATTCTGCTGCTGGTGCCTCAGTTTCTCCATCTAGCACACTGTGTACAAGGCTCCGGCTGTGGCTGTGGTTTTCCTCCCCTGGGCATCACATGATGGGGATGGGGTCGCTGAGCAGGCTGGCATCTACCTCTCTACAGAGACCTACTGGCAGCTGCAGGACGTCCAGTCGTGGCCCGGCCAAGATGTGATCAGCAGAGTCAATGCACTGGCCGAGGACACTGTGGTGAGCCCTTCCCAGGATCCCGGAGGTTCTGGGGCCACTAGGGGTCTCCCCAGTGTGCCTGTGTCCTCCCCGCAGAGGGGACACGGGCCTGATGTATCTGCAGGAACTGAGGCTGTTCATGCTCCCTGTCTTGGAGCCCTTGAGAACTAGGAGCTTGTGACAAGTTTCACCTGCACCCACCAAGGAGACCCTGGCAGAGCTGGGGTGGCCCCAGCCAGTCAGTGGCTCCTCTACCCACAGCTCCTGTCAGACCCCCTCTCTGAAGCCCCTGGGCCGCTGTCCCTGGACAAGGCCTGCAGCTTCCTGAGCATCCTGGAGAGAGTGCTGGTACAGGAGCCCACGCTGGGCCCTGCAGCGCTGCTGGCTGTCCTGTGCTTCCTGAAGAGGGCGTCAGCCCTTGGCGCTGGGGAGCCAGAGCCTTTGGAGGGGCCCTGGGAGCAGCTGGGCCGGGGCATCATGTCTGTGATCAGCCTGGTCCTGGAAGAGCAGTTGGCTGGTGTGTGGCTGTCCATCCCCAAGGTGAGGCGCAGAGCTGGCCGGGGGCCTGGGCTCTGGGCTCTGGTCCTGGCCCGGCGCCTGGCTTGTGTCACTGTGGGTGATTCAGCAGCGTTTCTCTATCTCCCCATCCCTTGGAAGAAAGAAGCTCCTCTTTGTCTAGTTTCTAAGTTGAATCTACCTGAACAGTCATGTATGTGTGTGTGTATGGTTCAGACGTAAGAGCCATGAAATAGGAAGGGCTTTCCCATGTCCAAGAACCTGCTGAGGGCCTTGGAGTACGAGAAAGACGCCATCGACTGGAGAGGCTGTTGGAGTCCTCATCCGGGTCCTCACCCCGGTCCATCTGTGGACATGGGCCACAGATCTCTGGGGCTGAAGGCTCAGGTGTGGCACTGTGTCACCTCAGGACAGAATTGGGCCTGAGCTGTGGGGGATGGAGATGGCACTACCTGGTGGGATGGTCCTGTCACCAGGACAGAGAGTGAGTGTCCCGTCAAAGGCTGCATGCAAGCCAAATTGGAGATCCCAGACACTATGGCAGGCTGGCACAGAACATCAGTTTTCTAGCCTGGAGAAGGGGGTTCTCACACTAGCCTTGGTGACACAAGGGAGAGGAGTTACTGCTGACTTGGTGACTTGCCCAGCACGTGCAGGTGTCCACCAGGGTGTGCTGTCCCCTCCTTCCCCTCCCTCCCCTATTCTCTCTTTAATCGAAAATCGGGTACCTGGTATAGGGTTAGCACTGAGTCGGAGTTGGGGTGCATGTGGCCTGCCACCGGCATGTGCTCCCATTGGCAAGTGACAGGCACCTCGTGTCAGAAGGCATTTCCCTTTCACTGGGGATGGGGGACAAGGAGCGCAGATGCCTGCCTGGGCAGTTCCTGGCCACCCCAGAGGAGGCGAGCAGGCTGCAGAGGTGAGGGAGGAAGAGACCCACCCAGTCAGTGAGCAAGGCCCGAGGCCCCTCCCTGGCCACCCCCGTGCTGGACGGGCAGAGAGGGAGGCTGGTGGGACACGGCTCACCCCACCCAGGGCCCTGGCTTCAGCCCTGAGACTCGGAGGGGACAGGGCCACTGGCAAGTCCCCAAGGCAGGACGGGCGCCCAGTGCCCTGAGTGCCGTGTTTAAGTGTAGAAGGTGTCGTCTGCACCACAGGGCTGGTGCCCTCACAGCAGCCCTCAGTGGCCCTGCCCTCCCTGCAGGTTCCTGAGCACACAGGTGGGCTCAGCCATCCTCTCCTCCGAGGTGTGGGACGCTGCCGGGCCAGTCAGCACTGCCGTGACCTTCCACCTGCAGCACCAGGCCCAGGTACTGGGGGCTCCTGAGTAACAGTGCCCCTGCCACCCCAGTACTGTGTGTGTGGTGCACAACCAACGTCTAAACGTCAGGAAAAACACTTGCAGCCACCCTCTCTGTCCTTACAGGAACAGGAAGGGAGGTGGCATCTTGCTCACTTATTTTATACCGGAGCCCTCGGTAGCCCTAAGCCTCAAATAAACAGCACACATTTAACTATCCCACTACCTGCTCCCTGTTGCCTTTGGGAGACGCAATGTCATTGAGCCCAGTTTTAAGTGGCAGGAGCAAGGATTTCATTCCAGGCCGGTGGAACTCATGAAAACTGATGGCCCTGGCCACCGGCTAAAGCATAGAAAGCTGTCAGGTGGTTTGTTTCCTTTTCTGTGCTGTGTAGTATTCCATTGTGTGGATTACCATCCTTTGTTATTCCTTTCATCTGTTGATGGAGATTTTAGTTGTTTTCAGTTTGGGCTATTGTTAATACATCTGCTATGTGCACTCATATTCAAGCCATTCTGTGGACATATGACTTTTTCCTATTGGTGAGTTCCTGGCATGGGACCTGGTGGGTTGCATCATAAGTGCATTTTAACCTCTAAAAGGTGGGGTAGCCTGTTTTCCTTGGTGGTTGCACCATTTCCATCCCACCAGCACAGTACACGAGAGTTCCAGTTGCTCTGTATCTTTGCGACATCTTGGCAGTCTTCCTAGTGTCATTCACTAGGCTGGTGACACACTGACGTCTCATTGGGGCTGAAAGTCTTTGAGGAAAGACCAGCGATGTCAAGCATCTTTGTATCCCCTGTGGACGTGTATGTACCTTCTTTTGCTAAATGTATGTTCAAATCTTTGCCCGATTATTTTTTTGTCCCATTTTCAAGTTGTAAGATTTCTTTAGATAGTTTGGATACAAGTCCTTTTATCCAAGCAAAACATTTTTTGGTACATTTTATTTTAGTTTAGTTTAGTTTTTGGCACCGGGGATCGAACTCAGGACTTCAGGCGGTGGGACCCACTGAGCTAAATCCTCGGCCCACCTGGTACATTTTAGATGTGCATAATGATAACATTCATCACTGGGAATTTGTACCTGTGCACGATGTATCTCGCTTCTTTTTTTCCCATTCCCTCTCTTCGACCCACCTTCCCCTCCTTATTTACAAAAGCTTTGATTCCATCTTTTCCTGTTACTCTTTGTTTCTTGTCCTTTCTTTCCTTTGCCCCGCCCCCCTCCCTTGTTGCCCTTTTCATCTGAATCTTTTCCTCCCATTTCCCAGAGTCTGTTATACATTTTGGTCCTTACTTCCACTTTCACTTTCTCACGCCAGAGAAACGATGCAGTATTCAAACACACGTGTCCCGTTCATTTCACTTAAGACTGTGGTCTCAGGCTTCCTCCATTGAGCTGGAAATGTCTCAAGCTCGTCTTTCTTTATGACAGAGGAGTGCTCCACTGTATTAAAAAAAGCAAACACATCTTTATCCATTCATGAGTTGATGGGCCTTTGGGCTGTTTCCAAGCTTTAGCTGTTACGAACTGTGCTGCTATAATAACCATGGGTGTGCATATATCTCTGTGGAGTGCTGCTTTTATCTCTTTCAGGAAGATCAAGAAGGGGAATAGCTGGGTCTAGTTTTAGTTTTTTGCGGAGTCTCCACACTGATCTCCGCAGTGGTCGCATCATCTGCACTCCCACCAGTAGTGGAGAAGGGTTCCTTTTTCCCCCACAGCCTCTCCAGGATTTGTTATTGGCTGATTTTTTCAAATTTTGAAACAGGGTCTCACTATGTAGTTCAAGCTGGCCTTGGACTTACTGTGTAGCTGTGACTGCCCGCAAACTCACAGTGACACCCCCAGCCTCCTGAGTGCTGGGATTACAGGTGTGCACCACCAGGTCCAGCAACTGATTTCTTGATAATAGCCATTCTTTCTGGAGTGAAATGGAATCTCAGGATTGTTTTAATTTGCATCTCTCAAATGTTGAACACTTTTTCATATATTTATTTGCTGTTTCTAATTTTTCATTTGAGAAATGTCTATTCATTTCAGATGCCCAATTTTTGATTGGGTCTTTAAATTGGGGGAGATCTGATTTTTTTTAGTTCTTTATATATTCTAGATAGTAGCATTTTTTCTGAGGAACAGCTGGCAAAATTTTTTTTCCACACTGTAGGTTGTCTCTTCACTTTGTTGGTTTCTTTTAATGGCAAAAGCTTTTTAATAAGATGAGATCCTAGTTGTTGATTCTTTGTAATAGTTCCTGTGCGATCTGGGTTTTGTTCATTAAGTTTTTGCCTACAGCGGTGTCTTCAGAAGTTCTACCTGTTCTCTCTTCCAGCAGATTTAGTGTTTCTGTTTTAATTTGTTTTTCATTTGTTTGTTTGAGGCAGGGTCTCCCTTTGTAGTTCAGGATGGCCCTAAACTCACTATGTAGCCCAGACTGGCCTCAAACTCTTGGCAATCTTCCTGCCTCAGCCTACAAAATGCTAGAATATCAGGTCTGCACCACCACACCTGGCTCTGCTTTAGTATTTAGATCTTTGATCTATTTCTATTTGAATTTACTGCCTGGTGAAAGATATGGATCTAGTTTAAATCTTCAGTATGTGGAAAGCCAATTTTTTGGCACCATTTATTAAAGAGGCTATCTTTTTTCCGGTGAAGGTGTTTAGCTCCTTTGTCAACAGTAAGGTGGCTGAGTATGTTTGGGGTTGTTTCTGCATCTTCTAATCTGTTCGACTGATCCTCAGGTCTTTTTTATTTGCCATTATCTTGCTGTTTTTATCACAATAGATTTGTAGAATAATTTCAAGTCAGGGATTGTAATGCCCCCTGCCCTACCTTTGTTGCGCAGAGTTGCTTTTGCTATTCTGTGTCTCTCTGGTTCCAAATTAATTTTAGGATTATTTTCTCCTGTTCTGTGAGGTATGCTATTGGACTTTTGATTGGGAGTACATTAAATTGGTATAACAATTTTGAAGTTATGGCTATTTTCACTATATTGGTTCTTACTACCTTTCCATTTTCTGATATGCTGTCCAATCTCCTTTTTGAGTATTGCACTTTACCATGTAAATGTCTTTTACTTTATGTGTTAGACTGATTCCTAGGTATTTCATTTTTTTGGATTCTATTGTGAGAGATGTGGTTTCCCTAATTTCTCTATCAGTGAGTTTGTATTTGTGTACAGAAATGCTACTGATTTTTGAGTGTTCACTTTGTATCCAGCTACTGAATTTGGTTATTAAATCTAGTGCCTTGACTACTCAGAGATGTTTTCCAGGTGTTGCTGACTTTGGGGTTTTGAGTCTGCTGCAGGATCCTACCTCTTCAATTTATTCAGGATGAGAAGTTGCTGCCTATCTGGCCTAACTCCTGGTTCTTTGGCACTGGTGTATGGTATTGTTTATGACTCATAGGCAATCTCAGTCTTGGCACACTAGGAAAAACAACGGATTAGAGCAACTATGTCACCTTTGCTAAAGTGGTACAGTCACCAACAATGGTAGCATCAAATACAGCCTAGAAAATGAAGTTGCCACCTTTACTTGTACGAACTAGATGTGTGGTTCTATAATAAACTCTAAAACAAACCTGAAACTTGTATATGGTAAATATGCCCTCAGTATGGCAATTTTACCCTCAGAGAGAAAATTTAAAGGGCGTTAGGGGGAAGAAATAGAAAAACAGAAGAAGAGGAGCTCATTAGAAGCAAGGCTGGGAAATAAAGGAAGATTCTGCAAACCAGGAAACTGGTGAGGGCAGGAGGAAAAGAGGGAAAACAAGAACAGAATAGAACAAAAAAAAAACCCACTCAATGTTCACACTTGTATAAAAACAAGAGAAAACAATCAAGAAAAAAATGAAAGGAAATAAGAGGAAAAAAGTCTACTTCAAGGCATGTCTCTGCTGTCACTATTAGACAAAGTGTGTAGACAGAGTCCAGATCCATGTTGATTAATCCCAACAAGCCAGCTGTAGATTTATGGCAGAATAGTGGATAATCCCAGCAAGCCCGCACCTTTAGTTCTAAAGCTCAGGCTGGTTTCTGGCTGTGAGGCTAAAACAGGTTTTGTTTAGCCTACAACACGCTATGTGCCTCCTGCCAGCCTGAACTCAGTTACTCCTTACTCCAGTGTAGCCAGCCTGCAGCTACTTTGAGTTCTGAGCTCAGCTGGGCCTTCTCCAAGATGACCACCAGCAGATCACCCTCTCCTGGGGGATGGATGAACCAAAATAACTCACCAGCCACTGCTGTCTGCTGCATCCACTGCTCCGTTCCACTAGTGCATTTCTCTGTGGAGGCCTCTGGGGTTGCTAGTAGTCACCGTGTGTCTGCAGGCTGAAGTCACCCTTCCCACATACGAGGCAGGTTGTCACCTCCTTCTTCACTGAAGTCTCTCTACTGTCCCTGTGGACTTCAGTTCTCACTGCAAATTCTTGCTAGCTCCTGGGGACCCACTTCCTGCCTTTCTTCCTCACACTTCTGTATTCCAGTATCTGGACACCAAATCTCAGAAGTCCAATTTATTCTCTTTTTTTCTGTAGTTTTCTTGTAATCTCCCCCTCCGCTTTTGCTGTCAGATTAATGCTGGTCTCATGCAGCAAGCTGGGAACAGTTCTCTCCCCCTCTGCAAATGTTCAGTAGGCTTCGGTGAAGTCATCCAGGCCTAGCATTTTCTTAGCAGGAAGGCCTCAAGTTGTGAATTGTAGCTCTTTAAATGATACGGGTTATTTGGGTGCTTTATTTCTTCTTGAAATGGTTTGGAAAGGTGTGCCTGACAAAGAATTTCTGTTTCGTGTAGATTGTCCAGTTTCTAGCATAAAGTTGTTCATAATGTTACTCAATTATTTGTTTAACATCTATAGTGATTTTTCTTTTTCATTCTTGACCAGTCTAGAAAGAAGTTTACCACTTGTTTATTTTCAAAAGACTAACTTTTAATGTATTTTTACTTTTATTATGTTTTTGTTTTTGTTTTTTTGAGACAGGGTCTCACTATGTAGTTGAGACTGACCTGGAACTCACTGTGTAGCTCAGGCTGGTCTCGAACTCAGAGTGATCCTCTTGCCTCAGCCTCCCGAGTGCTGGGATTACAGGCGTGCGCCACCACGCCCGGCTGTTTTTACTTTTAATGGACATGTAATCATTGAGCGTGCTTATGAGGTACAGTGTCCTGCTTTAGTACAATGCGCGCTGTGTGCAGCGATCAAATTGGGGTGGGTGACATTCAACGCCTCCATTATTTGTCATTTGAACATTCAGAATCCTCTCTGCTAACTACTTTCAAATATAACTGTTGTCCACCACAGTTACCCTACCATGCCATAGAGCAGGGACCCCAAGCCCAGCTAGTTTTGGTCTATGGCCTATTAGGAATCAGGCTGCACAGCAGAAGGTGAGTGGAGGTGAGCAAGTGAAGCATCACCTGCTTCTTTACAGCCACTCTCACCACCCGCCTCACCTACTGCAGATCAGGAGCGGCGTTAGACTCTCACAGGAGTGCAAACCCCACTGTGAACTGCACATGCGAGGGATCTGGGTTGCCCAAGTTCCTTGTGAGAATCTAATCCTGAAACCACCCCACGGCTACCACCCACTGTCTGTGGAAAAATTGTTTTCCATGAATGCAGTCCATGGTGCCAAAAAGGTTGGGGATGGACACGGTAGAGCCCAGGATGTCCCCCTCCAAACTCAGCTGCGCTCCTGCAAGCCTGCTGACCACCCTCGAAGGACTCACTTTGAGATTCATTTACCCATTCAAAATACGATTTCAAATACTTTATAAAGAAAAATAAATTGCATAACTCCCTGGGAGATTTGGAAAATACAGAAAGGGATAAAGAAGACAAAAATCCTATTACCCAGAGATAAGCACTGTGAACATTTCGATGCCTGTGGTCTTTTTTGGGGCACGTAACACTACAAAATATCTCTCTTCTTTTTTTTTGGGGGGGGGTTGAGGCAGGGTCTCACTATGTAGTTGAGACTGACCTGGAACTCACTATGTAGCCCAGACTGATCTCGAACTCACAGCGATCCTCCTGCCTCAGCTTCCTGAGTGCTGGGATTACAGGCGTGCACCACCACACCCGGCTTCTCTCTTTAATGATAAAAAAAAAGTGTGCATTTGGAATTAGCCAGCTGAAGTCAGATTAGATGATCCTTGTTCTTTGGCAGCATTCTGGATATCATGGTCAGGAGTGGCCAGATCCACTCCTTCTGTCCATCAGGCCTGGTCAGGTGTTGAGCTGGGCCTCATCCATGTCACAGAGCCGCTGCTCACTCAGCCTGTGTGCTCGAAGCACGTTGGCCTTGACATCCACGATGAACGCAACAGGGCTGCTGTCTGTGGTCTTCCTCGTGAGGCCCACATGTCCCTCCAGGGGCCACCCCTCCAGGGACATGGGCTGCTTCCAAGACCGCAGTGCCTTGGCCTCCTGAAGAGGGGTGACATGAAGGTCTCCTTTGAGGCTATGGACGCCTCTCAACACTGACTTCTTGGCCTTCACAGCCTTTGCTTTGGCTCTTTTGGGGGCAGGAGCTTCCTTCTTAGCCTTTGGCGCCATTTTGGTAAAAACAACCACTGCCAATGTGTCCTTCCTTTCACAGAGCTGAGGCTCTTGCTCTTTCCGCACCCCTGCTGGTGTCTTCTGCATTGACTCAGCCATGGGTGTCCTTTGCTAGCCTGTCGCTTGCTGCTCTGTCCTGGCGTGTGCGGCCCCGCCCAGGAGTGGTCTGAGGAACTTCAAGAACCTGCAAGACTTTGTGCCAACTGCCCCCACCCAGCCCTGCGACCCTCCTTACTCCTAATCCGTTCTTAGTCTGGAGACCACTTCCTGGTTTGGAGTCCTGGGGACTGTGGAATGTAAAGCTACATTTGTGTTCCAGATTATATCCTTGAAAGTGCCACCAGAGGTGTAGTAATTATCCCTTTTTAAGACTCTAGGGATGGGCTTGTTTGTGTCCTGTCACCTAATCTGGTACCTGAGACCCAGGATTTTTTTTTTTTTAACAGTACTGAGGATTGAACTCAGGACCTTGGCACTGAGCTACATCCCAGCCCTTTTTATTTGAAGTTGCTGAGTTACCCAGGCTGGGCTTGAACTTGCAATCCTCCTGTCTCGGCCTTCGAGAATATTGGAATAGCAGGCAGGTACTGCCACATCCAGCAAGGAAAAATATTACGAATGAATGAATATATAGGATACTTTAGCCAACCTGAGAAAGGATACGTTCCCTGGAGACGTGGTCGGGGTGGAAGGAGGAACATGGAGTGACCAGTCTGGGGTGCAGGCTCAGCTCCAAGCTCTGTGATCTGCAGCAGGCCACACCACCCAGTGCTTCAGTTTCCTCACCGGAAGTTACACAAACGTACACTTTTCTCCTAGATTGCTATGGTAATCAGTTACACTACAGGGCCTGCAAGTGACTGGCAAACACCAGAAAGTTCCATTTCTGTTGCTTTCCCCAGTCGGGACAAATGACCTAAGTCCCAAGCTTAGGCTGCTACCCGGGCTGGGACTTGTACCATGGGCCTCCTGATGTCTCCTCATTGCTGGTGCCAGCGTATAAAATCGATCGCCTTGTTGTCCTTGTTTAATTACAAAAACAGCTGATGTGTTCATTATATCCCATCAGGCGAGCTGTATTTGCTCAGAGACCGTGAGAGTGTGTGTGTGTGTGTGTGTGTGTGTGTGTGTGCGCGTGCGCACAGCTACATGAACCTTAGCTCTCAACTGTGCATCACAGTATGCTCCTCTCTTTACTGAACAATGAAACATGGTGCTCTTTGTGTATCAGTAGACAGAGGCCCCAAGTCAGTCTCACCAGATGCAGGGCATCCCCAGGAGGGAAGAGTTGGGTAGTGTTCTATTTAGTTTGGCTTGGCATGGCTGGTGTCACCATGTAGCCCAGGCTGGCCTTGACTCCTGGCCATCCTCCTGCCTCAGCCTCTGGAGTGCTGGGATTGTAGGCGTTCGGTTGTGTGGTAGTTAATGGCTCCCAGTCCATGGCCGTGTCCTTGGTCCTAGTTCTTCTGTCCTGCACACAATGCTAGAATGAGCATGTGCCCACGTTGCCTTGCCTCCTGCTCCTACCTGCATTTACCTCCAGCCCCTTCCTCACCCCCTTCCCTGTGCCCTGCACACTCATGCCCCTGCCCTGTCCTTATTTCTTCCCTAGGCCTTCCCCAGGAAGTTGGTGAAGCCTGTCTGTGCTTTCTGGAACTTCAGTACAAGGTGAGTTTCCATTTCCAGGTTATTGAAATAAGGCAGTTTGGTTTTTTTTTTTTTTTTTAAGATATCAACTCTCCTCACACAAGGCAGGATTCAGGCAAGTGTTTGACCTCCAGACACAGCTGTGCCAGGGTGATTCCAGGGCTCACCTGGCTACAGGACAAGCTGAGCAGGGGAATGTGTTACCCAAAAGTAGTGAGCTCCTTGTCCCCAGAGGTATGCAAGGGAGGCGATGGTCACTGTGAGATGCCTAAGAGGGGACTCATCCATGAAATGGGACTTGATTTTGAGCCTATGTGAGGCCAGGGTCTGGCCATTGAAGGGCCCAGGAGTTGGCCCAGCTCCTTGGCCTGGTCTTTAGCTGAGGGAGTCACAGCCACTTAGTCACCAGTGTCAGCAAGAAAGGTGGTCATTGGCGTCAGCTGCTCCTCCTGCCGTCCCTGAGAAGGGAAAGTGCATTTGACAGATGGGAAACTGAGGCCCACAGCAGGGCAGTGCCGCCTGGTCAGTGTCACACCACTGGTGACAGGCAGAGCAGCAGTGAGCCCAAGCGCTGGGTGAAGCCACCCCTACCTGCCGCTGCCATGGCCTTCTGCTTCCTCCCGCCCCCAAGCCCAGAGACAGGGGGATCCTGGGCCACTACCGGCTGCTCCGTGCTCGCCCTGTACCAGGACTCAGCTGCCTGCTTCTGCAACCACAGCACCAACTTCGCCATCCTGCCACAGCTGTATGATGTCCAGCTGAGAGGGACTTACCGGCTCTTACAGGATGAGCAGGCGTGAGACAAAAGGCCGAGGGAAGACACCCCAAACAGAGGGCCGCTCTGCATAAAGGCGAGGCGGTGGGACAGGAACAGCAGACCGGTCACACAAGTCCCCACACTGGACAGACAGAGAAGGGCAGGTCAGGGACCAAGGCCTGGGCCTCTGAGAGGGCACAGTCGGCGACGGGTTGGGTGGCACGTGGCATCCCAAAGAGCCTGGGGCCCACGGTCTGGCGTTCTGCAGGGATCTCAGCCAGGGCTGAAGCTCTGTCCGGGTGAGGCCAGAAGTGAGAGAAGACTGCAAGTAAGAGAGCCCCCAGGGGCGCCAGTGCTGACAGATGGGGGGGCGGACGCCAGGGGGACGCCAGGGGGACGCCAGGTCTAGGGGTGCTTGCTGGAGCTCCAGAGGGACTTGGGTCAGCTGCTAAGGGGTCAGGTGAGATGAGACCAGAATCTGGAAGGCCGAGATTACCAAAACATTATTAAACGATTTTTCCTGTGAAGACAAGAGCTTGGACGTCTCCACGATATAGTGGCCCGGCCCAGCCCCATTTTTAGTGGTGGTTCCACACTCCCCTGTGACACTTACTGCCCTAGGGGACCTCCTCCCTGTGGCATAGGGGTGACTCCACTTCTGCGGGATCAGGGGAGGTAGGGCCGGTGCCCATTAACCAAACCCCTGCTGTGTGCTGTGCAGGCCCGGCCCTGCCGGCTGGTGGCCCTCAACCCCTGCGTTCCCACACAGCAGGAGAGGGGTCCGGTCTAGGTGGGAGTGGGTGACAGGTCTCTGTCCCTCCCCGCAGAGAGGCCCCGAGGAGGAGTCGCTGCTGAGGACTCTCTCGTTCGTGGGCTGCGGCGTGTCCTTCTGCGCCCTCGCCACCACCTTCTCGCTCTTCCTTGTGGCCGGGTGAGGACAGCTCCCAGTGCCTGGGCCCTGGGCCGCTCCTTTTGGGCCTCCACAGCTCCTCCGCCAGTGTCTGTCTGCCTGGCCACAGTGACTGCGCAGGGAGGCCTGCCCTTGGGGCGTGCCGGGCCGCCTGCAGCCACACTTTGGGGTCTCGGTCCCTTTCTCATCGCAGGGACGTGATTCGTACCTGCCACCCACAACTTAAGGGTTGATCTGGGCTCATGGATTTTAGAGGATTCCATCCGTATCCTGCTCCAGGGCAGGAAGATCTCTGGGGGGGCGGGGAGTTGCTTCGTCAGGGCAGCCAGGAAGCAGAGAGAGAAGGGAGGAGCTGGGGAGGGCACGAACCCCCCACAACCCCCTTCCCAGCTAGGCTCCGCCCCTGTGGCCGCCCCTTCCGGCCGGGCCCAGCCTCCTGACCGCACGACAGCTACAAACCCGTCATTAATATTAATCCCAGTATTAATCCACCCATGAATGCAGCGCCTCCCAAACGCCACCCCAACGCGTGAGCCTTTTGGGGACACAGGGATCAGTGGTGCTGTCCTTGTACACCGACTCCTCTGCTGTCCAGGACCCCCAAATCGGAGCGGACCACAGTCCACAAGAACCTCACCTTCTCCCTGGCCTCTGCTGAGGGCTTCCTCATGGCCAGCGAGTGGGCAAAAACCAACCAGGTGGGCAGCCAGTGGGGCGGGGCAGGAAAGCGCTTGCGGCTGCTCTGGTTGTCCCCTCGCCCCTGCCATCTTGGCCGGGGAGGAGCAGGGCCCAGGGGAAAGGCCCTGGAGGGTGAAGTCAGGGCCCAAGCAGAGATCTCCCCACTGTCCCTGTGGGGGTGGCAGTGCCGCGCCCCGGCGTGGGACGCAGGGTGGGCTGTTCCGAGAGGGCCTCCATGGGGACCTCCCTCCCTGCAGGTGGCCTGTGTGGCCGTCACAGCCGCGATGCACTTCCTCTTCTTGGTTGTGTCCTGGATGCTGGTGGAGGGGCTGCTGCTCTGGAGCAAGGTGGTGGCTGTAAGCATGCGCCCTGGCCCCGGGATGCGGCTGTACTACGCTGCAGGCTGGGGTGAGGCCCCACCCCGCTCGGGTCTACCCCCCTCTGTCCCTGCTGTCCCCACTGCCGAGCTTGCACGGCTCCCGGCCACCCACAGGATCACGCCCGCCCAGCCCTGCTCCCCAGATCTCCTTGGTTAGGAGACACGTGGGCTCCAGTTGGGGATCAGGGGCTGGGTCCTGGAGAGGGAAGTTGTGACTTCACCAGGTGCGGTGGTACACACCTCTCATCCCAGCACCCTGGGAGGCTGAGACAGGAGGATGACAAGTTCTAGCCCAGCCTGGGCAACTCAGGGACACCCTGTCTTAAAAAATTTTTAATAGGGCTGGGGATGGAGCTCAGTGCAACAGCCCTGGGTTTAATCCTCAGTACAGGAGGGTTAGTTGCACAGCCTGAGGCCACTTCTTTTCTCCCTAGGCGCACCTGTGGTCATTGTAGCCGTCACCCTGGCCACAAGCCCTGCTGACTACACAACCGCAGGACACTGCTGGCTCAATGTGCACACAGATGCCATCTGGGCCTTCGCGGGGCCTGTGCCCTTCGTGCTGGCTGTGAGCCGGGGGGCTCCGGGGAGGGACACGTCAGGGTCCGGGTCCTTTCACCCACTGACCCCCCTCTCCAGACCAACACCTGCATCCTGCTCCGCGTGCTGATGGTCACCGTGTCCAGTGCCCGCCACCGCACACGCATGCTGAGTCCGCAGCCCGGCCTATAGCAGCAGCTCAGCATCCAGATGTGGTGAGGCTGGGACTGCGGCCAGGGTGAAGTGGGGAGCACCCACGGGGCACTGTGCTAGGGCTGTGGCTGTGCTCCAGATTGAAATCTCAGAAAGGGCTGGAGATGTGGGGCCGACTTCACAGCACCTCTGGGCATCTGGGAAGGGGACCGACAGTGGCCCAAGATGGTGACAGCCGAGTCCTGCCTGAGCAGGGGACTGTGTGCCTTTCCAGGCATGGGGTGTGGACCCCCGGGAGCCTCCCATGCTCCACCCAGCCCTGTCCACCTTCCACAGGGCCACGGTGAAGCCAGTGCTGGTCCTGCTGCCCATCCTGGGCCTCACCTGGCTGGCTGGCATCCTGGTGCACCTTAGCCCAGCCTGGGCCTACGCCACCGTCGGCCTCAACTCCCTCCAGGTACCTCCCAGCCCTGGCCCATGGTTCCACTGCAGGGCTGACCTGGGCCGTACCGTGGCAAGGACAGCAGTGGGACTCGGGACTGTGAGGAAACACCTCAGGAGCCCCGCGTCCGGGGGCCACGGACACGAGGCCCACTAGGTCCCTGCTCTGAGGGTCCCAGATAGGGACAGGCAGTGTGGGCCCGGGAGCTGAGGGTCCAGAGGGAGGGGAGCACCAGGTCTCCTGCCCCTGCTTTGCCTCTGGGCTCCCGCATCTCTCCCCCAGCTCCGCTCACCCTGGGTCCCTCTTTGGGCTGGAGAGCAGGGCTACCCAAGACCCAGGCTGGACAGGGACAAGCTCTGGACATCACCCAGCCCCTGTGTCTCTTGGGAGACAGGGCTGAGGTGGTGGCAGCCGCTGTTGATGTCTGGATGCTTGCTCGGTGGCTGTTTCTGTCTCCTGTCTGTCTCATTAGTGGGGAAACTGAGACCTCCCGCGCTCACTTGCCCAAGGGCTCAGAGTGGGAGGGAGCAGCACTGGGCCCCAAATCCTGAGCCACCTCCCAGCCTCGTGTTCTTGCACCTCGTGGGGTCCCTGGTGTCACTGCCGTGCACATCCTGTGACCCTGGCTGGTTCTCTCCGACCAGTCACTGGTCAGTGGCCTCTCACTGCCATGGTGATCTCTCCAGCTCTGCTGGGTGCCCCAGGCTGTACATCATGGTGTGAGTCTCGGTGGTCCCTGTCCTGCCTGTGCTCCCAGGTGGGCAGAGATGTGGCAGTGGGGACTACGCACCCTCACTGTGCTCTCCGGCGCCCTCCTTTCCCCTTGGGCTGTCTTTCTTTGCAGCTTCTTTGTCTCCTCTCTGGGCATTTCCTGGCTCTTCCACTCCCTCCTCCCCAGATGACCTCTGCTTCAGCTCTGCTCTGGGTGAGGCCCCCAGGCAGGTACCCTTGTTACTCTCCCAGGCCTGGCCTCTCCTGACCCCTCTCCAAACTGGACAGGATCTGCTCCCAGGACAGTGACCAGGGAGAGACTAGACTAGCCCTGGCCCGGCCTCATTCCCTCTTCAGGGGTGACTTTGTTTCCTTTGGCTTCCTGTGCTGGGTTTTGTGGATGGAGAACAAAGTGTTATTTCTATAACCAGCTGTGACTCATGCCTACCTGGTGGGGAGAGTCTCACTGTGAATCTCAAACAAGGTAAACCAGACCTGTGCAGGTCTCGGTCTGAGGGAGAGACAGACCTACCATGGTGTGGTACAGTTGAGGCTGGAGACCAGGGGCAGTCAGGGCAGAGTGGGAACAGGGGAGCCGCTCGTGGGGAGGCAGAATGAGAACATCCTGGAGGGTGAAGACCTGAAGGCTGCACAGGGAGAGAGCAAAGAATGTTTCAGGACTGAGTGTGATCCCAGCACTCTGGGAGGCTGAGGCAGGAGAATCCCATTTGAAGCCAGCCTGGGCAACTTGGCAGTTTAGTGAGACCCTACCTCAAGATAAAAAAATTCTAAAGGCCTGAGAGGTAACTCAGTGCAAGGGCCCTGAGTTCAATTCCCAGTACTGAAAAGAAAAAAAAAAAAAAAAAAAACAGTTTCAAACAGGGAACTTTGGGGGAAACATGAGGAGAAAGAGGAAGGCTGGTAAGAAACCTTCAGAGCTGTTACAAAGAGGTTGGACATTATCACAAGGGTGCTTGGGAGCCATGGAGGGTGCTGGTGTAGTTGGGTAGCAGTTTGGAAAGATGTCTTTGCTCTGGTGATGGGGGTGAGAGGAGCCCGGAGGGAGGGCAGAGCCGAGGCTGCAGGGAGGGCACAGGCGGGCTCTGGGGGTGGGCTCTCTTGGGGGCCGCAGGTGAAGGTGCCATCTGTCTCAGTGCAGGAACTGGAACTGTGGGCTCCAGCTCCCAGCCCTGGCGGGGCCCCTGTGCCGCTGTGTCCCCAGCCTGGCCTCAGGGCCCGAGACCTGCCCTTTCCTCCTAGGCTCCAAATCTCACCCGCTGGGCCATGTTGCACCTTGAAACCCATTCCTGTGTCCCCTACCCCTGGGCACAGGGCCCCTGCCCATCACATAGGGAAAACGGACACCCTGCCCCCCCCCGCAGCTGCTGCAACGGTCCGGGAAGCTGCAGAGCTGAGCCCTTCACGTGCAACACCTCACATCCTGAAAGGGGGGTCGGCAGCTCCCTCTTTCCAGATGACAAGAGCTTGGGCTTTCACTGTCCCCTCCACCTCTGAGGGTGGCTGGGGCCCGAGGGACGGAGGTCAGACACGCCCCCTGGCGGCAGGGCTAGGCTGCGTCTCTGCTGTGTCCAGTGACCACTGGGGGGCGCTATGACTCCAGTCAAGGCGGCGGCGGGACAGGGTGGCTGGGGGGTCCGGGCGTTGATGCGGTCTCTGTCCCCAGGGGCCGTACATCTTCCTGGTCTATGCCGCCTGCAACAGGGAGGTGAGTCGAGGTCGCGGGCGGGACCCGGCCGGGGCAGGAGGGTCTCCCGCCTGACCTCGGAGCTGTTCCGCAGGTGCGGAGCGCGCTACAGAGGGTGACAGAGAAGAAGGTGGTGCTCGCAGTGGCCAGCGGGGACCCGACGCCCTGGCCCGCACCTCCCAGATGCGCTCCCAGGACGACCCTGCAGCCTGGGGTCCCCCAGGAAGACATGTGGCTCTCAGAGGTCTGGCCTTACCACCCTGCCAGGCCTCAGTTTCCCCCGTGCGTGGGCAGGGCTGGGAGGACGATACATCCTGTCAGCTTGTTTGTAAGACAAGAAACTGAGGCCTAAGAAACTGCAACCCTGCCAAATGGCTTAGAAATGACTTGTTGAGCCGGGCGTGATGGTACAAGGCTATAATCCCAACAATCAGGAGGCTGAGGCAGGAGGACCTCCATGCATTCAAGGCCAGCCTGGCCAATGTAGTGAGTTCAAGGCCAGTCTAAACTACAATCCAGGACATATCTCAAAAAAAAAAAAAAAAAAAAAAAAAAAAAA